CGTCGTGTGAGCAAGAATCGCCATTCACAACTCGTATGCACTTTAACTAAACAATCAACAATGAAAATCTAGTGAATGACTGATAGCGTGAGTTCAGATTGAGCCCGCTGCGAACAGAATCTCAAAAATCATCAAACACAGCCAGCTTTTATACCCATTTCCTAAACAAGTTCATTGCTAAAAGGATCCCGCTACACAATTTGCAGCTTTTCGAGAGAAAGACGGGAAATGTGTTAAGTGCAAGACCAACGCAATCAATATTAGTCTAATAGTCAAACAGAAACAAAAGGAAACAATGGAATAGACCTAATCGGTTTACGCGTTGCTATAAACGTTTCCACCCAATTCAAACCACCCGGGAGTAAGTTTCATTGTTCGTTGCATTTTCATTTCACAGTTAAATTCCTAGAAACAAAAGTTATTTTTTCTCACAGGATTTGAATTGGGTCATAACGTACATGGCAATGCGTGTCGATTTGGTCGATTAGGTTGCACTAAGGCGTACTTTGTATTTTACCACAATTGTGTAAATTATCGCGCGCCGATTGGCTGAAGTTAATAGTGTGCCAATAAGAGGACATGCACACTGTGCAGACACCATCACGTCTTTCGCGCGCTCAGTTGAAAGAAAATAATGAATTGTGCTAATATTTAGACTTAAATGTGCTAAAAAGCAAACTGTACACGGTTTACATGTCCTCTTATTGACAYACTCTTGACGTCATATTAAAAATGTTCAAAATTTTGCAGTGAGCCCACTCGTTGCGCTGGTGGATCAACTTGAGTTTTATTAAATATTTTATAATGAGTGTGTCGATAAGAGGACATACAACTCAATGCCGTGTGCAATTTCGGTCAAAGTTTTTTGTTTTGCTTGTTTCTTTTTTTACCTTCCTCTAAAAGGGTGGTAGCCTGAGTTAATACAGCGTTTACCCGTAAACACATTTTCTGATTCAAATGTGGGCTTCTTGTTTAGCATGTCAAGTCAGGGTTTTATATTAATGCATTGTTCACATGTACGTTATTCAGTCCCTGCAGTAAAGCCAAACTAAAACGGCGCAGCTTTCAACTTTGAGTAAGTCTATCTCAATAGTTTTACATTTTGTAAACAATAAAGCGAATTACTGATAGTTAATTAAAAAAGATGTATTATGAGGTGAATGATTATTAAAACATTAAAAAAATATTCCGAGTGCAYGAGCAGGTGTTAGTTTTGAAAATAAACCGGAAGTACGCAGGCTAAAAGGTTGGAAACGTATTCAACAAATATTGCTAAATAGCTCAATATA